ATGAGGAAAGAAATAATGAAAAAGGCAAGAAGAAATAATTAAGAAGAACGAAAAAGAATAAAAAAAAGAAAATAGAAACGAGAAGGAGATAGAAAGTAAAGAAAGAAAAAAGAAAGAGGAGAAGAAAGACAGAAAATAGAAGATAATACAACGGAAGAAAGTAAAAGAAAGGAAGGAAAAATATAGTAAAAAAAAGAATGGTAGAAAAAGAAATAAAAGACGTAAGAAAAAAAGATGAGTACGTAAACAGACAGAAAGCGGTAAGACAAATAAAATTCGGAATAATATTAAAAATTCGTAACAAGCGAAATATAAATAAAGAAGACAAGTTATTAACGTCTTGACTGGCCAGATGGGCGGGAATGTTGTTAGCAAGAGACGCCATCATTCCTCGAGGCCATTGACACAAAGACAACTTTGAAGAAAGGTTTCGAGATGTAACAGATTGCCTGTTTATTTAGTTATGCATATAATTTGGGTGTAAAGTCCTCTTTTTATTTCATTGGTCGACATTTTGGAACTGGGTAAGAAAAGACCTCAAGTGGTAGAAGATAGGTCAATCGAAAAGGTTAAAATGCAATTTTACTGAAAATACTTGAGATAGAAAAAGGTTGTCGATTCCAATATACTGAATTCGTACATTTGATTGTAATACGTTTCTGTATTGTTTATGTTGATCCTGTAGATTCCCATTGAAATATAGGGCCACGGCCTCACCCTGCTAGGTGTTACGATATTGAGTCACCCCCCGCCCTCACGAGGGTGTCATGTGGCACAAGGCCTTTTTAACGTGGGCATTCCGAGCTCGGCCAAAAATATGCCCATTGAACCCGTATATACGGGTTCAGGGCCGGTTTACCTCCCCGCTAGGTGTTACTGCTGAGGTTTTTGTGAAGTGGAGTTGCTATCCAAGAGGTTTTTGATTTAAAATTGTCTTTCTCTCAAAATGGTTCTCAACCAAAGTTGGAGAGCTCAGTCTGTCTTGATATTTATCCCATAGCGTGTGGGAGATAGATAGGGGTACCTACCCTATCGTGGGTGTTTGTGTGAAAGTGATCGCAACGGCCACGTCTAGAATTTGAACTCTACACACCAAACACCCTTTCTTAACATCTAGTTATATCATCATCATCATCCCCTTGACTTTTGTAATTGTAGTATTGGCTTCTGCATTTGGACCCCTCCTACGATTACAAAAGTCAAGATGTTAAAATTTTAAAAGCGATGGCAACGGTCACGGCTAGAATTTGAACTCTACACTCCAATCGCATTTTCTTAACGTCTAGCTATATCATCATCATCATCATCATCATCATCCCCTTGATTTTTGTAATCGTGTGTGTGTGTCGAATGCAGAAGTCAATACTTGTAATTACCTCAGGATTACTCACTGTATGGGTTAAATAAGACACATCCTTGCCTAACACTCTTTTTTTCATTTTGTATATTTACTGAATTCATTTTCTATTACTGAACTGAAAGTAACAAGAAATACTAAAGTCTTCTTATCATAGCTCGGGATTCAGGGTTGAGCAGTGGGGATCTGGGGACAGCAATGCAGGTCTAAACAGTGTGGAAAGGGATTGTCAATGGAGTTCTGACCAACCATAGGGAGGTCGAATAATGATGATGATGATGATAAAATAGTAGAGATATAATGATACACTAGTAAAAATTATGAGATGAAGGGAAGAGTTTTTCTTACTGTAGATCTTACTAGGCACAATAAAAGATTCTTCTCCTATGTGCTGTGTCCTAGGACATTAGTGATCAGATATTTAAATTGTTGTACGTGTTTGATTTTGTTATCTCCAATTTGTAATTTTCATGCTGGTGGTGTTCCTTTTGCTAACAACCATGCATTCTATCATCTTGCAATTGAGGTTTAGTTTTTTTTTTGTTCTTGTTTCCGTTAGTACCTTCTATAGGAGTTCTTGTAGTCTTATTTCCGTGTCTGTTAGCAACACTGTGTCATCTACATATCTTATGTTGTTAAGACTGTGGCCATCAAAATGTATCCTGGTAGGACTTCTAGTTCTTTCAGGATCGCTTCATTGTATAAGTTGAAAAATTCCGGCGAGAAGACACATCCTTGTTTTACACCCCTTTCTATTTTTGTGTAGTCTTTTTCTATCAGTATGAAGGCGGTTTCATGCCAGTATAGGTTCGGGATTATTCTATTATCGTTCTCAAATATGTCAAAGTTACCACGCAGTTTCTTGTGACGCTCTTGCATAATCTATAAAACACAGGTACACATAAAAATAAGGACTGGCTAAAAGTTAACGTAGAAAGCTAAAAATTGAATATTTTATTGCAATATATACAAGCCGATATCACTGAAATTAATCACTTAATAACTGCGGGAACATATTGGCTTGGTGCATAATTATCAGGCGTTTTTGTAAGTGAGTAATTTGTTAATTTGTGGTGTTTTGTTTACTTTTTTTTTTTTTTAATAAAAATATTATTTTATTTTCAGTTTATAAAAGTGCATGTCGATAATCATACGCTCCGGAATAATCATTTAAAAATATTATTGTTGAATTGTTATGTTTCTTTTTTCATAATAGATATTGTTTTTTAAAACGCCGGATAATTATGCACCAACCAAGTAGTAATTGAAATAGGTTCATGAAACATGAAAGCCGTTGTGAATAACCAGAAGCCCATGAGATGAATGCAGGTTTTCTTCAAAGCCCTATCCTCGGTCCTATCATATTTCTTTTTTCTTTTTTTTTGATTAGTAAATATCTGGATGTGATGGAGTTTAAAGGATAGCGGCTAGGAATGAGAAATCGATCGGAAAGCCGAATTCGAATTAGATAAAATTACATTATATTTTTAAGAATGGATTTAACAAAGATTGGCGACGTAATATTGTGTTTGTGATCTGCGTTTATAGTCGCTAACATTTTTATCAGGACACCCTCGAAGTATTTATTATTATGTTCTTTTTTTTTTATTAGGGTGGCATTTGTAAAATCAAAACTAGTTTTGTTCCTGTGTATTACAAGTGATTTTAAATGTCTGTCCCAACGTATGTCCTTCGTGTGATCACAGATGCTGGCTTTTAGATTTCAAAACGTCTCGCCAATGTAAGTGTATTTACATGACAAGCATTTTATCTGACAAATCCCAGTGTCTGAAGTGGTGTTGGATCTATTGTCCTTGCTAATTATATCTCCAATTGTCATGGAGGTGGTGGTAAAGTACTGGGGATAACTAATTTATTTTCAAATATGTAGATAGATTATTAGAGGATAGGATTATGAATTTTGTGTTGTTGATATTAGAATTCCTGTCGGTGGTATCAAATGTTTGGGATTTTTAGATTTTGTATATTCATTTTCTAACTTTGAGGATGAAACGATGAGAGTAGTGAAGAAGTCTAAAATGTCTTTTTACATATATTTCTCTTCTTCATCTAGGTATTCTGCACTACATATTCCAAGGGTTCTGAGGTAGATTTTTATGACAAGTCCTGATTTTATTTTTTGCTGCGGTGGAAATAGAAATTATTCTGGCGTGCTATACCACTCATCTATAGAGAAACGTCTGGTTAGTAAAGTCCAAATTACTGTTTTTAAACAAAAAATCTTCGACGATCTCTTTCGAACGATCATATCTGCTCACGAAACGTACCTTAATGTAAACATTGACAGCATGTTTTGAAATGGATTAAATCCGACAATTATTTAATATATTTTCTATTTATACGCTATTTTAATAGATACAATTTATTTAAGTATTTGCTCTGTTTTTTGAATAAACATTATTAATTACATTTGCCGGCCTTAATGTTCGAGAATATTTGTAGGAAATATGCGTTCTTCAACAGGAACGGAACCTGTATCCTATACGGAACCGTCAATTGATCTGACGTGCTATAACACTCAGCTATAGAGAAGCGTCTGATTAGCTAAATTCCAAATTATTGTTTTTAAACAAACTTCGACGATCTCTCCCGGACGATCATATCTACTCACGAAACGTACCTTAACGTAAACTTTGACAACATATGAAATGGATTAAGTCCGACAATATATATATATATATATATATATATATATATATATATAATAAAAGGCACAGTCAGTTTTAAATCCGCGCTTGACAATAGCCACGTACTTGAAACTGAGTTGTACCGAACAGTGAGGAACAAAATGTGTATTTATTATTATTCCTACTAGTAGTGTTTATATATATATATATATGAAGAAAAATATACAGAAAAACAAACAAAGATCTTAATATGCAATTATGTGTGTGTGTGTGTGTGTGTGTGTGTGTGTGTGTGTGTTTTCAGGAGTACAAACACTTCATAATGTATAAGCCATGGCCCACTCTGACGTTAGATTGAAATGCTGAGTAGTGAGCCTTTGTGGGTAATAGACAAATAGACGTTGATCGTCACGCGATCAAATATTGGGATTCTATGTTTATCCGGGCCGCCAACGACTTCTTTTTCTTATTCTGAGTCTTTCACGTGGACCCACTGATGGATCATGCATAGCGTTGTCTTGCACGAACCTCGAATTCCGTTTTCTTCAAAAACAAATGCAGGCATATACATCGCTTCATCGGCTATTTGCATTAAAAGGATGCAATTATATTTTTTCATTCATTTTTATATTTGAATGATTGCGTCATTTTAATTGGGTAAAATCATGACAAATTACTTGATTCTTAACAACCAAACTATTTCAATTGAAGCACACATCATTTTCTCGTATGTGCTCTTTATTGATTTGTGATAAAAATATAACAAAATATATTTAAATAGATAATTCCTATATTTGAAGTTATTTGTGATATTTATCTACTCTATTGTCCATTCATAAATCCTGCGAGACGACTCGCAGGAGTGAAAAGGTTGCTGAACATGGGAGTAAAATAAAAAAACGTTTCCAAGACGTCCTTTTCTCACATTTTCCACATTCTATTTATTCCCTAGGAGGAAATTCTAATAATGCATTAGAATGTAGATATTTCCTATCATGTATTATTACCAGAGTTTTATGTGTATATTTTTCTTTCTTTCTTTCTTTCTTTCTTTCTTTCTTTCTTTCTAATATATCGCTTTATTTTCCTTTGTTTTTTATTAAACATTTCTTAATTCTGAGTTATTCACTTTTTTACACTAATTTGTTGCTTTAAAATTTTTTTTGTACGTTTGTTTGTTTCTATTTTTCTTTTTTTCTTTTCTTAGACTGGTCCTAAGCGGAAGTATCCTCAGACCCCAGCTTTCATTTTTCTTTCTTTTTCTTTTTTAAAATTTTAGTTTCATACCTTTTTTCTAATCTCTTTCTTTCTTTCTTTCTTTCTTTTTTTCTTTCTTTCTTATCGTTTTTTTATAGTTTAGTTTAATATCTTTTTCTGATACCGTTCTTTCTTTCTTTTTTTTTCTTTCTTTCTTTCTTTCTTTCTTTTCTTTCTTTCTTTCTTTCTTTCTTTTTTCTTTCTTTCTTTTCCTTTTCTAATATTTTAGTTTTATACCGTTTTTCTAATCCCTTTCTTTTCTTTCTTTCTTTCTTTCTTTCTTTCTTTCTTTCTTTTCCTTTTTTTAATATTTTAGTTTTATACCGTTTTCTAATCCCTTTTTTTTTTCTTTCTTTCTTTTCTTTCTTTCTTTCTTTCTTTCTTTTTCTTTCTTTCTTTCTTTTTTTTCTTTTCCTTTTTAATATTTTAGTTTTATACCGTTTTTTCTAATCCCTTTCTTTTCTTTCTTTCTTTCTTTCTTTCTTTCTTTCTTTCTTTCTTTCTTTTCCTTTTTTTAATATTTTAGTTTTATACCGTTTTCTAATCCCTTTCTTTTCTTTCTTTCTTTCTTTCTTTCTTTCTTTCTTTCTTTCTTTCTTTCTTTTCCTTTTTAATATTTTAGTTTTATACCGTTTTCTAATCCCTTTCTTTTCTTTCTTTCTTTCTTTCTTTCTTTCTTTCTTTCTTTTTTTTCTTTTTTTAGTATTTTAGTTTTATACCTTTTTCTAATCCCTTTCTTTCTTTCTTTCTTTCTTTCTTTCTTTCTTTCTTTCTTTCTTTTCCTTTCCTTTTTTTAATATTTTAGTTTTATACCGTTTTCTAATCCCTTTCTTTTCTTTCTTTCTTTCTTTCTTTCTTTCTTTCTTTTCCTTTTTAATATTTTAGTTTTATACCGTTTTTCTAATCCCTTTCTTTTCTTTCTTTCTTTCTTTCTTTAATATTTTAGTTTTATACCGTTTTCTAATCCCTTTCTTTTCTTTCTTTCTTTCTTTCTTTCTTTCTTTCTTTCTTTCTTTCTTTCTTTTCTTTTTTTAATATTTTAGTTTTATACCTTTTTCTAATCCCTTTCTTTCTTTCTTTCTTTCTTTCTTTCTTTCTTTCTTTCTTTCTTTCTTTTCCTTTCCTTTTTTTAATATTTTAGTTTTATACCGTTTTTCTAATCCCTTTCTTTTCTTTTCTTTCTTAGTTTCCTACCTTTTTTCTTCTAATGCCTTTCTTTCTTCTTTCCGTTGTTGTTATTTCTTTTCTCATGCTATAAAACGATGGTTGACGAGCTTGTCTCGCAAACTACACACGTCTGTAATGAGTGTCCCACTACTGTAATTATATGCAAAAGATAACCGGCATAAATATCTGTCTCTGGGTGTCGACTAGAAAACAAGTCAGTCATGCACACCATTTGCCGCCGTAGAGAGTTTGACCCTCACTAGAAGCCCTACTACCGTGCTAGTTGTCTAGCTTAGTAAATAACACTGCGGTGCCTTAATACTATAGCACCGTGGTAGACAAAGTTAAGCTTAGTATCTATCTATCTATCTATCTATCTATCTATCTATCTATCTATCGTCCTCTGTTCGTGTCTTTCTTTCTTTCTTTCTTTCTTTCTTTCTTTCTTTCTTAATAGTAAGCAACATGTAAGAAAATGGCAACAGAAAGAAAACTTACACCTTTTTTTTGCATTTTTGCAATGAAACATGACCCAGTGCACATGTTAGTATTTTGTATGTCCATTCCACGAAGTCGTTCCTTGCAAACTGGCCACAGAATCTCGATTGGATTTAAATCAGAAGAGTTTCCAGGCCAATCTATAGTACTTTGATTTGCTTATTGGTAAGGCTTGCCAGTGTGTTCGTGCAGCGTTACAATTTTCGTACGTTTCCTTTGAGTAACGGTCATCACAGACAATGACCGCAGGACAACTAATAGACAATCGAGACAATAGTGTCTGGGCGTGATAAAAATCAGATGCATTCACGAATGATGCAATATTTTTCAAGGCCAAAAGATTTCATCATACACCCCGAAAATAGATTAATTTTACTGCACACCACTGCAAATGACCTAATCTGAGGAAAAAAATAGAAATTGATTACACCCTATCACCAGTGGGTTCAAAACTGAACGTATAAAAAGGAAAAGAAACTAAAGCAGTTGTTTCAATTAATTTGCACAAGGGTGTATATTCAAAATCAGGAAGAGATAGCTGAAATTCCTTGGTCACATAATGAGGAAGGAGGGCTTACAAAATTTAATCCTTATGGGACATTGAGGGCAAGAGAGATAGGGCGAGGCAGCAAACCACTTACCTGACGAACTTGTGTAAATGGGTGGCAAAACAGAATACGGGTGCATTAGCAAAAGGACAAAAACTGCTAAGAGTCACACGAGATAGAACGTTGTGGAGAACCATTATCACCGATATCCCGAAGAGACGCGTCACATAGTAGAAAAAGAATAAGAATGGTTTAGCTGTTTCCTTATGAGACAACATTCGGTATTCACAGCCCGAGCAGCCAGTGATTTTATTTAGTTTTGTAAATAATTGTTTTGTATATTGTAAATACTCATTGGCGTTAAATTTAAAAAAAATGTTAATTTAAAAAATTTTTTTACCCCTTCTCAACGACAAAAAAACTGTACATACAGGTTTTAGAGAGGACTTCATAGAGACTTTGTGGTCTTATGGTGACTGTAGTAAGAATGGTAGTTAAGATTGTGTTGTTTTGGTGTAAGGAAAATTATAGTATATTTGGGTCAATGATTATGGTAATTTTCTAAGCGTAGTTTAGATATGTCACAAGGCCAAAAGTATGAGGTGAAGCCCGAACTCTTTATTCAGTCGTAATTGATCTAGCGAGACAAGCGTTCTAACCATTAGACCACGTCTAGGTCACTGATTATGTCTAGCTAAGTTAAACGTAAGCCAGAAGATGACCAGTCCCACCACCAAATTTGGCGAGATGATATATTTGCACATTTCGTATAATAAATATTGCGCCTAGTGAGTTAAGTTTTTCTTAACTTACTGGCCATCGAGTTTAGATCAAAATGTAGTATCTGTTCTCCATAATGGTAATGATAATATGAGTCGTTTTCTTATATGGTAGTATGCTAAGGATATCATGGACCGAGCATGTGAGCAACAATGAGGTCTTAGAGAGGTTGCAAACAAGGAGGGGGCTTATACTTAACATCAGGAAGAGGCAGCTGAAGTTGCTGGGAGACATAATTAGGAAGGAGGGCCTGGAAAATCTGATACTCACAGGTTAAATAGAGGGAAAGAGAGACGAGGGAAAGCAGCGTGTGACATACCTAGCGAGCTTGAGCAAGTGGATGGCAGAGCGTGGTCTGGCGAAGGAAGCAGAAGGAAGGAACTTGTTAAGAGCTGCAAGGGATAGAGGGAGAGCCATGACCCTACGTCCTGAAAGGACATGGCACATAAAAAGAAAGAAAGAAGTATTCAATATTCACTGACCGAACATCCAATGGTACTTTCGGTTGAAAGTCATAAAATGTATCTATCAAACAATTATTCAGGGAAATAAGGTTTATCAAGTCCACAAACTGCTAGAGGCTTTTTTAGAATTGATGAGGGCTTCCTTCTTAATATTTTATTTGAAATATTTTGTTTATATGATTATTCTGTCTTCAAGTTCTATATGCTATACATTTTAGATGTTACTGTTAATGAAATTCCTCAAGTGAGGTGGTTTATGTTATTTGGTACAATTCTTTATTTCTAATTCTGTAGCGCCAGTCCACCAGGTTTGAAGAAAGATTGTCCTCGCTACAACCTACAGGCTTCATTCGCTGGAAACCTTTTTTATTCATTGATCCAAGAAAGCGGTTTTACAGAGCTGACAGTTTAAATATTTATGTAGAGTTCCCATTTCTGGCCCGTCCTCGGTATGACGATAAACTACATCCGCCTCCAGGGTAAGACAATAAACTACGTCCAACAGCAAGGCCTCTGATCAGGAGGTTTTGAGGAGTGTGGAACCACCTCTTAATTGCTGGTGTTCCAAGGTCCACCTTGATCCAGATGGTAGCACCTGTTAGGGTCCCAGCTATGGGCAAATAGTTAACCTCGAAACTGAGGTAAAAGGCATAAAAGTGTAAAAATAGGTTTTAATGCCAGAAATACTTTGTAAAAAATTATTACCAGAAATAAATTTTTGAAGCAAAAAAATATTACCATAATGGACAACACTGACAACAGCTTGATAGAACACTTCACCATCATAGTAGATGTTAAAAAAAAAGAACAAATTACGGATTGAAAACAAATGAACATAAAATATATTAACAACACTGACTGTAATGATAAAAGTATGCAGATGTAGGTTTTAAGAAAGATTTATTCAACTGAGAATACAAGATTCACGTACAGTGTCCTTTTATAGTCCCAGGAAACAGAAATAGCTCTCTCAAAGAGGAGAGTAACAAAACAAGTGGAGAACACTCTTAATTATTCATAATACTGACAACAGTAAGTGTAGGTTTCAAATTTTTGAAAAAAAAAATATTATTAGTAATACATTTTTTAAAATAATATTACCAGCTGTACATTTTTGAGGAAAAATATTACCAGAAATAGATTTTTGTCAATATATATATATATATATATATATATATATATATATATAGATAAAATAACCTATTGAGGTTGATATGCTGGAAAACAAAACAAAACAAAACAAACCATTTCTGGCTTAGATACGAGGCAGCCGCGATGTTTTCAAATCCCTTGCTCTCTTTCCCTCCGATCTTGTTGTCGGCAACACTTTCTTTTCTAACTCTTGCAACACACGCAGCATGTAAGTTAAGTACATTATAATTTCAGAAACATCAACTGAAGATTGTTTATGAAAGTTTGATAACTTCAAAGGATGAAGTTCTTTTCTTTCTTCTATAATTATACCAAGAAAACACTAATGATTCTTCAACATGTTTTGTCAATATATTTTATGTTCATTTGTTTTCAATCCAAGACTTGTTCTTTCTTTTCAACGTCTACTATGATGTTGACTTGTTCTATCAAACTGTTGTCAGTATTATGAATAATTAAGAGTGTTCTCCACTTGTTTTGTTACTCTCCTCTTTGAGAGAGCTATTTCTGTTTCCTGGGACTATAAAAGGACACTGTACGTGAACCGTGTATTCTCAGTTGAATAAATCTTTCTTAAAACCTACATCTGCATACTTTTATCATTACAGTCAGTGTTGTTAATATATTTTATGTTCATTTGTTTTCAATCCGTAATTTGTTCTTTCTTTTTAACATCTACTATGATGGTGAAGTGTTCTATCAAACTGTTGTCAGTGTTGTCCATTATTTGTGTCATAATTTAATCGGACTCACATAAATCTATAAAATATTGTTTTGGGGGCAGATAAGAGCAAGTGTCGTAAAGATTATTATTCATCTCACCCTACAACAGTGTCACCACAAAAATTAGAACACTTACTGTATCTGATCTTTGTATGTGTTTCTTTTAAAACAATGACATAATCTAGTGAGTTTAATCTCCGTTAAATGTCCTACTTATATTATCCTATATCAGATGAACTTATCGTATATACTCGCGTATCATGCGACCTTTGAAGACCTAATTTTGAAGCTAATTTTAAGAGGGTCGTATCATACACGAGATATAAAACGAGTGTATGTTCTGCTGGCCCTGGCTGCACCGTTGACCAAACTATATATCCATTAACTGTAGTCAAAAAGTTCAGCTGTATTTAAAATAAACATGATTTTGATAAAACTGCTGTTTTACTTAACTGTATGCAATAATAATGCACGTAATATTCACATATTAATAACGTATTATAAAATATAAGTATAGCGAATATGTATCTTTTCCACTGTTTATGTTTATAAAATGTTTAGCTGTTCGGTTGTTTATGGCTGGACGCGTTTATGCAACGAGTACAGCGTTACTAACGATACTTTTATCTTTTGCTTTTACTTTTTTTTTAACTCATTTAAATAGAAGAGGGGATAAAGAGATAGAGGAAAAGAGGTTAGTCTATTGTAATTTGGTCTCTCAAAAAAGAAACTAGCATGATACACGAGATACCTGATAAAATCATTTTTTATGAGTGAAAAGTTGGGAGTCGCACGATTCACGAGATCGCGGGTTACACGAGGATATACGGTATCTTTAAGTCTTAATTAAGCTCATTTATTACCAGTAAGAAAAGTGTCATTTTCCACTAGATTATCTGCAAACTTTAAAGGATACCAGCCTAAATAAATCAACATCAAAATGGAACAGCACCACCATGCATCTTTGGTGTTTCTTTCGCATGATTAGCCCTGGGAAAGGTATGAATGACTTTCTTCCCATTCCAGCTGTCTTTTACCTCTTGCAATACACTAAGATATATTTATGGCATATCACTTATCACTTCACAAACATCAATTGAAGATTGTGTATGAAACAATAGACATTTTTGTTTTTATTAATCGTATTCGCCCCAAGCAAGGCAGTAAATACTTAAGGGATTACTGGGTGTGGAAGAAATAGAAACGGAAACATTACTAAGGAGCGAGAACAAAAGATGAGTAAGAGTATTGCTGCCATATATGGGCTGCGGCACCTTCTGCTTAATTCGGAGTTCTTGACAAGATCCAGAGACGGATATGTAATCTAATTGGCCCTGATCTAGCGTCTTGTCTGCAGTCACTCTCTCACAGACGCGCCGTCGCCTCTCTCTGTCTTTTTTCTACAAATACTTCCATGGTAACTGCTCTGATGAGCTGCTCTCTCTGGTTCCCAGACTCCTTGAATTCAAGCGCCCTACGAGGCTGGCATCCTGCTCCCACCCTTACACCGTAGAAACCTTCAAATGTAGCCGTCTCTTCTACTCCAATAGCTTCATACCTCGCACCTCTCGCCAGTGGAACACCCTCCCCAATTACTGTTTCCCTGAAAGCTATAATCTCCAACTATTCAAATGTAATGTCAATCGACATCTCCAATTACCTTGATCTACCCACTATCCTTCTCCTCTTCCTTTCTCCTATCACTCTTATCTGCTCTCGCTCCAAATCTTCCGCACCCCCTGCATCCTAGTGGCTTCACGCCTTGCTTGGGGCACAATGCTTAAAAAAAAAAAAAATCAGATAGCGATTAACATTGCATTTACATTTTTGAAGATTAAAATTAGCTGGAAAGAATGGAGCCGGAAGAGAGTTCCACAAGTGAGAAGTGTGACAAAAGAAACTGTTAGTATAGAATTTACGATTACATCTAGCCAACTTAACTGTAAATTGGTGAGATCTTGTCGTTAGTCTATTACTACACTTAAATTAAAAGGTACCATAGCGAAGTGCTCACCCGAACAATTACCATGAAAGTATTTCCTTTCTTTCCTGTTATGCCAACAAAACACCAATAATTCTGTACATATATTTTTTCAATACTTCTTATGATCATTTGTTTTGAAGCCATCACTTTTTCTTTTCGTTGTCTACTATGATGATGAATTATTCTGCTGTCAATATTTTACATTTTATTACACCTTGTGTCCCTGTTTACGCAGACTTACATGAATCTGTAAAATATTGTTATATCAGGAGTCGTAAAAAATGATTATCCATCACGTTCAGCAATATCAAAATAGGATGTCGAGATTTCATTACCAACTCAACTTCACTAAATCTGCCTGAACTTGGATTGGCTATATCAAAAAAGAAAATTTATAAAGAGGCTCCGAGATTACGTCAAAGCAGCATTTGATTACATCTTGTATTTTCAGAACAAAATCTGATGATATCGTGCGGTATTACTGAAGTGCTCTGGGTTAATTAGTCATGATTTTTCACTATCGAGACCATACTCGACCGCTTTATTTGATGAAGATATTGTTAAAAGTATTACTGGTTATTACGGTTGTATACAATTGACAGTTTACATATATGTGTAGGATTATCACACCCAGCGCAGAAGCATGGGCAGCGCGATTTTTGAAGGCCTCTTTTACTCCAACTTTATATGTTATAGATATTGCAACACACGCGGCATGAAAGTACTTTACGGCTTTAGAACCATCAATTGAAGTTTGTGTATGAACATTCGACAACTTCAATCAATGAAGTCCCTTTGTTTCTTGTATAACTATGTCAACAAAATAATCTGTAAAAAATGTTTTATCCGTATATTTTGTGATCAATTGTTTTAAATTCAAAACTTTTTCTTTATTTCCGTTGTCTACTTTTTTCTTTATTTTCGTCATCTACTGTGATGATGAATTGTTCTATCAAACTGCTGTCAATGTTTTCCATTTTATTACAACCAGCTTCCACGTTTACCCAGACTTTCATGCGTCTGTAAAATATTTTTCGGGGTGTGGGGTGTGGTGGTGGTAGTAGTGGAAATAATACAAGGAGTCGTAAAAATGATTATCTATCACGCTCAGCAATAATATAAAATTAAAATGTCGAGATTTCATTAGCAACTCGACTTTTACCAAATTTGGCCGAACTTATGATGGCTATATCATAAAAGAAAATTTATAACGATGCTACAAGATCAAGTGGAAACAGCATTTAATTACATCTGGCATTTTCACAAAAAAACTGATAGTATCGTGAGGTATTACTGAAGTGTCCAGGGCTAGCTAGTTATTATTTTTCACCATCGAAACCGTACCTGACTGTATCTAATGAAGATATTGCTAAAGGTACTGCTTGTGATTCTGTTTTAACTAATTAAGAAAAGCATGTATTTTTGTGTTCATTTGTGTTTTACGACATGTCAACCCTTGTTGGGGTGTTGGGTTCTTTAATATCGAGTGTTATCTGAGGATACCATAAGGAATCGAACTCACGTCTCAGTAGCCAATGTCGACTAGACTAACCTTACTAAACTTTGCCTGATCCTATTCCGTTTGTATATTTTTGATTCTTTACTCGTTCAGTACCTAAAATCTAATTTGAACCATTTTAAATATACATATATTTAGAAACTATATTCCGTTTAAATAAAGCAGTCATAAAAATGTCTGCAAATGGACGCACATTTTGGCTAACATATTTTTCTTGTCTCCCAGAAGTTAATCCTAGCAACACAGATCCATTACAATTTACATTGTTTGTGTGTGTACGTTTGTATGTAGGCGTGTATATTTTCAATAACAGATCTAAAATATTTCTACAGAGTTATAAAAACTAATTAAAAATAATTAATTTATTAGCGAATAATTTCCTCCTGGGTATGACGATAAACTACATCCAATAGGAAGGCCTCTGATCAGGGTTTGAGGAGCGTGGAACCACCTCTTAATTGCTAGTGTTCCCAGGTACACTCTACCCCGGGGTGGCAGCGCCTGTTAGGGGCCCAGCTATAGGCAAATACTTAATCCTTAAACTGGAGTCAAAACGTGTAAAAATAGATTTTAATAATGGCAATACATTTTCGAAGAAAAAATTATTACCAGCAATACATTTTTGGGAAAAATATTACCAGAACTAATTTTTTGGAAAAAATATTACCAGCAATAAAAATCTTGCCGGCATTAAATAACCAATTGAGGTTGATATGCCGTAAAACAAAATAAACCAAACCAAACCAAACTAAACTAACGAATACATATTCTATTCATACGAATATATCCTAAAAATCTTGTCGGCATTAAATAACCCATTGAGGTAGTGATGTAAAAAAAACAAAATAAACCAAACCAAACCAAACTAAACTAACGAATACATATTCTATTCATACGAATATATCCTAAAAATCTTGTCGGCATTAAATAACCCATTGAGGTAGTGATGCCGTAAAACAAAATAAACCAAACCAAACCAAACTAAACTAACGAATACATATTCTATTCATACGAATATATCCTAAAAATCTTGTCGGCATTAAATAACCCATTGAGGTAGTGATGCCGTAAAACAAAATATACCAAACCAAACCAAACTAAACTAACGAATACATATTCTATTCATACGAATATATCCTAAAAATCTTGTCGGCATTAAATAACCCATTGAGGTAGTGATGCCATAAAACAAAACAAACCAAACTTAACCAAACCGAATAATCTCCCAAAAGTTCGGTAAAATTTTAGAATTATTCGATTTTTTTAGCATATAAATAATTCACATTATTTTTTTGTTGGGAAATTAGTCGTAACATTAAATTAGTCGTACCATTTTTGCTTTCATTACACATTTTTACATGCATTTACTTTTCATGGCCATGAACTTTTTGAAATAAAAATACTTTATCGCCATAATAAACTGAACTTTTACTTTGTGGTCTATGCTGTCAGCTTACAGGTATCAATAAATAAATATGAATAAACCGATATGGATATAAGATAGATATGAATAGACTGATATATAGGGTGGTCCGAACGTCTTGGTTACCTCTACCAAAAAGTAATGAGAACGATAGAACACCAAGTAATACAGTAATAAAAAGGACATATTCTGCATTCAGTCTATTCACTTTCAGTGACTCTGTCGCACATCGTCTGTATGAACAACAACATTTTCGTGGCACAAAATGATGTGGCGCCATGCCCTGTGTGATATTTTATGAAGCTGTGCTTTGTTGATTGTTGCATTATTCTATTCAGTAATGTTCTCTAGGTTACAACAGAAATAAAGACAATAATTAAAGAAAATGAATTTGTGAGAATGAAAGAAAAAAAGAAAATTTGAAGAAAAAGAATGAAAGAAAAAAGAAAATTTGAAAAAAAGGGAAAAGGTTGGAGAAAAAGACAGAATGGGAAAAAAAAGGATAAAGGAAGAAAAAATGAAAAAAGGAAGAGGACAATTTTAAGTAGTAAAAAAGAAGGTAAAAAAAGAAATAAGGGAAGAAGGGGAAAAAAAAAAAAGAAAAAAAATAAGTGAGAACAGAAAAGAAAAAAAAAGTGTGAGAGGAACATTTATAAGAATAGGAGGAAAAGGATGGACAATTTACCAAAAAATAAAGAACAATAGCAATACAAAAGAAGGCCATCAAAGAGAAAGAAATAAGAGCACAAAATGAAGGCAAGATGTCCAAGAAGCTGTGCTTTGTTGATTGTTGCAAATCCAAAATGTCCTTCAAAAGTATCAAAGAAAAAAGCACTTGTCTTCAGATGTTCTGGCCAAACCTTGGGAAGAGAGGATCCCAGACCAAGCTATGTCGAAGTGCAAAACTCATCTTGGGAAAAGATTACCCTGATTTATACAGGGATTGGGAAATAAGAGAGCAAGAGAAGAAGCAAAAAAAAAAGAAAGAAAAAGAGTAAACGGAAAGCTTTAAAAATAAAAGAAAAAAGATTACTGAGTGATTCAGGGAGTGAGAACAGAAAAAAAAGAGTGTGTAGAGGAATTGGTGTAATCTAGAAAGAAAAAAGAGTTTATAGAGGAATAGGAGGAATCTACAGGCTGGTCCGAAAATATTGTTACCCCCTTACCAAAAAAGTAATGAGAACAACAGAACAATAAGTAATACAGTAATAAAAAGCACATATACTGGATTCAGTTTATTCACTTTCATTGACTCTGTCACACATTGAGAAGGTCTGTATGAACACTATCATTTTCGTGTCAGCCATCTGAAATAAAAAAAATACATTATGTAGGAATGACAGATAGACATATCTGCTTTTTTATGTACCATGTCCCCTCAAGACGGAGACGATCATGGCTCTTCACAATTTCTTGTCCTTTGTACTCTTGATAAATTTTGTCTTTCTCTTATTTCTCCGGGACCCTGTTCCGCCATCTATTTATTCAAGCTCACTAAGTAGGTTATGCGATGTTTTCCTTTGTCTTCCTTTGCCTTCAATCTGTCCTGTGTGTATCAGATTTTTCAAGTCCTCTTTCCTCATGTGCCTTAGAATCCTCAACTGTCTATGACTCTTGTTAAATATAAGTTTCCTTTTTGTTTCCATTTTCTCTAAAACTTCCTTGTTGCTCACATGTTCGGTTCATGGTATCCTTTTGTAGAACCACATTTCTGTTGCTTCAAGTCTCTTTTTTACAGCGAGGTTCACCTTTTACAACCTCTACTTATATTCTAAAGACTGGTTAGGAATGTAAACAAGACATGATCAACTAACTCCTCCACATTAATTTTCTAAAATTTAATTTTCTTTTGATATCCGTGATTTAGCGTGCTTAATCTCTACAGTAATATGAAAAAAACCCCGAAAAAACAAACAAACAAAAAAACAACAAAAATACCCCCCCCCCCAAAAAAAAATCATTGGCAATAAAAGATTATTTCTCGTTACCGTGCATATTTTAAAACTCCATCAGCTCTTCTTTTTATAATGTAAGTTTCGTCTATTTACAATGTAGGTTTGTTCGTTTTATAATGTAGGTTTCGTCTATTTATAATGTAGGTTTTTTCGTTTTATAATGTCGGTTTCGTCTTTTTATAATGTAGGTTTTTTCGTTTTATAATGTAGGTTTGTATAAAGTACGTTTCGTCATTTTATAATGTAGGTTTCGTCTTTGTATAATGTAGGTTTCTTTTTTTTTATAATGTAGGTTTCGTCTTTTCATTCTGAGCGAAAAGCTTCGTCGATATTCTTCCGAATTCAGGCACGGGCATGAATATCTGTGCTAACTGTAACGTTTAAACAAAGGCATTTCAATATCTGTCAGAATTTCTGAGTACCTAAGGTAACAAGGTAGGGATTGGAAGCGTCCTGTTGTCGTCAGTAAATGTGTCAGATGAGAATTTTGCCCTAAACAACGCGTGAATCACACCGTTGACCCCTGTCTTCATTTAGATATATTCCAATAAACAGATTCATTTCCTGTCTAGACCACAAATGTCAAAGAAGATGAATGTCACTCGAAATACCCTCATATCCCCAGACACCATAAAAAGACATAATGCTTGTTGTCTATATTGACAAATATCTTTTTTTTTTATTTCTGTGAAGCATTATTCATTGCTAACTGAACTTATATTTTTCTTCTCTTAAAAAAGCCAAGAAAGTGAGACGTATTTATTCTCTTCACAACAAAAGAAAACAGATAAATAAATATATAGATAAGATTTTATAAATGTCTAATTAATGAGTAAAATTTATCGCTCTTCATGAGCTATTTATGGCCGAACGGTTAGAACGTTGGCTTTCTGACCGCAAGACCCAGGTTTGAATCTCATCATGGTCGATTTGTCAGGAATGTGACTTCATGATGTTATTGGACTGTAGAGGCGATCCCAACGTGTGGCACCTTTGGAAACTACACCACACCACGGGTTGACCCAACACTTGTGAGTGAAATTTTGGATGCCGTTGGTGGTTGAGCATGAAATCGCAAGTCATCGTGACCGAGAGTTTGATTGTACTGGATTCGTTCAGACTGTTGATCACGTCAGATAACACGCTCTCTTCCAGAAACTGTAACTAAGTTCCGCTTAGTTGTAATATAAACCACAGGTGGGCTTCGTGGGTGCTGAACAAACGCAAATATGCATGAGTTGAAGTCTGCAATAGGGATTGGTTAGGCGCACTAACAGACAGGCATACTCGGATACGAGCAGCCAGCCATTACTTACCGGGTTTAGCAGCAAACTTGTCCAAATCGTTTATCAGCAACATTGTTCAATTGTTGGATTAAACTTTAAACCTTTGTCTTAGAAATGATTAAATATATATTACTGGAATTCTTCGAGGTTTTTATAACACTATTGGACTCTATGTTGACCAATAAGAATGTATTAAGCTCTAAGGTGAAATGATGTTCCTTCTTGCTGTTGTGACCTCCTGATCCAGTTTTTCTTTCTACTATTGCCTTTTTAAAAAATTATTCATCATTCTCTTGATGGTTCTTGAATAGACTTTGAAGGTGGAAGCAAGATTATGAATGTTGGTACCATTACTGAAGGCCTAAAAATTGTTATTTCTCTCGCCATTGTTCCGATGGGAAGACATGGTGGAGCTGACACAAAACGATTTTTCATCTGTTGTCTTTCTAGCTGAATAACTCAAAGGGGTTTTCAGTGATTCTTACGACAAATGGTCATTCGTGGGTATGACGATAAAATACGTCCAACAGCAAGGCCTCAGATCAGGAGGTTTTGAGAAGCGTAGAACCAGCTCTTAATTGCTGGTGTTCCCAGGTCCACCCTGACTCGGGGTGGTAGCACCTGTTAGGGTCCCAGCTATGGGTAAATAGTTAACACCAAGCTGGGGTCAAAACAATATAAAAGTGTAAAAATAGCTTTTAATACCAGCAATAAGTTTTTGTAAAAAAAATTACTAGCAATAAATTTTTGAAGAAAAAATTATTACCAGCAATACATTTTTGAAGAAGAATATTACAAGCAATAAAAATCATTTCGGCATTAAATAATCCATAAGGTTGTTGTACGCTCCGGCCTTCTTCAGGTGGTTGGAATGTCGAACTGAACCCTTTATTTCGCTCACTCTGGTAGACTGTTCTAGTTCCATGTGCCATGTTTAATGGATGTCAGTTATCAGTTATCTCCTGTTAATTCCCCCTTCCAAGTTCTCCACTGCCTTAACCGAGTATTGAACTCACACTCTTTAGGTCCTGTCACTGGATCTAACTAACGCCTGTATCCACTGTGCCATGTGTCCTTGACGATAAAGGATTCAGTTCGACATTCCAACCACCTGAAGAAGGCCGGGGCGTAAAACGGCCGAAACGTTATAATAAATATGGCGACAAAGATGAGGACAATTGATGTAAATAATGTACATAATACCTCAACTCAGAAATATAGACAAATACTGAAACTCAATTAGTTTAGTGGTTTTGAAGATATTAAACATTTGTTGAACGGACAATTATCCCATGTTGCTACATGATTTGGACAATTTTGCTGTTACAGCCTGTATATAAATAAATAATTTCAAAATGTATTAATGAATTGTGCAGGTAATTTACTGAGTAGTCCTCATTCTCTTCGTAATACATTAGTAAGTTTCACCCGAGCTGCTTCTCCCCACGAGTCACTGCTTTGTGAACTGACTCCCAAGTGGAGTCTTCCTCGTTTATTACAATCTCAACCTGTTCAAGTCTAGAGTTAATCGTTATCTTCCACACATATTCCCATAAACTGTGGATCTTATTCGGCAAGACTCTCTTTTGAGTGATTCTTGGGGCTTGTACAGGGTGAACATCATTATAAAAAAAATAAATAAATAAAAAATAAAAATAAAAGGTGATTATGAATCGTCATAGATTCCTTTCCTGTATTCTCTGTGAAATGACATGCGTTCTTGGGAAAATATTACAGCGGTTTACCATTGCCTTTTGCACAATTTGGAATTCCCTTTTCTTTCTCTTAGAATTGTTGCCATCCAAGGCTATAGTGCCAAGTCTATCCTGCTATTTAACCCATAACTGAGGGAAAGTTGACAAAAGGCTAATTCATGACTTTCCCGAGGTCATTAGTGAACGTTACAGACTCGCTTGGAATTTGAACTCATGTTGATTTAATTTTCTGCGCCGATAGCCCTTACACCACACGCACATCGTAGATAAATCTAATAGCAATATATCACGTTCACTGCGCCTCATCCTGAATCATTTGGACAGAAGTCAGGTAAATAAACACTTCTCGGCCTTTTGATCGGGATGACAGCCTAGTAACTGTTCTCACCTCAGTTGAGATTAGAATAGGTGCGTGGTCCCGGGGATTCCAACCCAGCAGCAGCACATATCTCATTGCACTAAAAGAGCTGTGATCGGTGTAATATCGACGCCGGTGTGACAGTGGTCGCGAGGACTGGGTAATTTTTGTCCTTGGCCCATATGTATATGCATGCGTATGGGCAACTCACATAAAAGAATATGTCGCATCCTGCCTCAGTGGGGAGGTAAGGTAAAAAAAAGAAAAAGAAAAGAAAAAGAACTCACTCTACCTAAATGATATATTAAAAGCCAAACTAAATTAGCAAACAATAACAAAGTCCTCATTTCGACATCTGCCAAAGTAATTGTAAACACATACCACATAAAATGACAATAGCAGATAATAAACCCGACGGAAAAACAAACCTAACGACTTTAAAGAAAGAAATTAAAATATTTACAAACACCTACACAGTCTTCCTAAACAAGATATCATCTAATTCTACCCACGGTTGGGCTCTTCGAATGGTCTCGCTAGATGAATTACGACTGAGTAGTGAGTTCGATCCTCACTGGGTGCTTATACTTTCTGCCTTGCATCACATCTAAGCTACGCTTAGAAAAAAACATTTAGGGTACCTCGGCGTGGCGTAATGGCTTGTCTCGCTAGAACAATTACAACTGAGTACCGAGTTCGATCCTCAGTGAGTACCCCATATTGTACCACATCTAAGCCACGCTTAGAAAATCATCATTGGATTTACGGTTGCGTAATGAATAGCGGCTCGGCTGAGTTTGAATTCCATTTGGTTTCTTGAATTTATGCGCAAATACCTTTAGGAAAGGCATGAATCCATCTCTTCTACCTTTAGCGATGGATAAACAATAGGACAGACTGGGCCATATAGCCTTGATTGGAAAAACTCTGCATTCAAACCAATCTAGAGATCGTTGGGCTCCGTCAGGCTAGCTTGCTCAAAACACTCCACTGTGCTACGGATCGTGATACACACATTATATAGCCTACAAAAAAACACAGAGATTTAATCTTTCAATGCGATATGGAATAGGTAGCGCCCCTTGTGTAAGTAGCTCTTGCTGAAATTTAGGACAAGAAAATGTACAAAATATATAATATAGCATTATAGAGGGGTTTTGTAGTGACTACCTTCTTGAAATAGATAGCTTTCTTTATACCACTACCCGAATATTTATTAATTAATGTCATTAATAGGCGAGTCTTTTATCTACCAGGCTCACAACGTTTATCTTGTTTTTATTTGCCTTAAAGCTTCCATTTAATTTCTTATTTTTACCGAATGTTCACCCAAGAGAATGCTAGAATGACGCTCAAACTGGAGGGTGACTAAATGAGGTTGTTGAATGGACGCAAGCGACGGAAGTAAGCGTAGATTTACGTAGGATAGCTTCTACCTGGACTTGAAGAGGTTAAGATTGTAGAAATCAGGGAAGAATCCCGCGTGAGTCTGTTCCAGAAAGTAGGGGCTCTAGGAAAGTAACTGTCCGAATAGAACTTACTTCTTACCAGTGGAATACGAAGGGAAGGGAACATGGCGGACTTTAGCTGTAAATATCTGAACTAGTGGAACTAAGGAATGCATCTCGTCAGATCATTTGCCATGGAAATAGCGATAGAATAAAGATAGGTTTAGCTGTAAAGGTCTGAACTGCTGGAACTAAGGTATGTATCTTGTCACATCATTTGCCATGGAAATAGCAATAGAATAAAGATAGGTTCAGCTGTAAAAGTCTGAACTGGTGGAACTAAGGTATGTATCTTATCAAAGCATTCGCCATGGATATAGCGATCAAGTAGAGTGATGCTTAGCTGTAAAGGTCTGAACTGGTGGGTCTAAAGAATGGAACTCGTCAGAACTTTTAACTTGGAAATAGCCATAGCCGTCCGACGATGCTGTGGGAATAGCAGTAGGAATAGCAATAGAGTATATATATATATATATATATATATATATATATATATATATATATATATATACTCTTTCGTCGTTTGCAACGTATGAGGGTACAGAAAATTAATTCTTAGAACTGAACAGCCTGACTACTCGCACATATGATTTGATTATGGTAGTGGAAGCTCGTGCAGAACCATCTGCACTTTTTGGAATAACCGAATAGAGACTTGTGCAACTCGTGACACAAGATTCCCAAACGATCGTCTTCAAGTTTTGAATTCAGAGTTGTCCTTCTCTTGCCACCCAGTTTGTTCTGTTATTTATCCTTACTTTGGAGGTGGGGAGAAGAGATTTATTCATATCTTTTCCAAAGGTATTTGCATGTAAATTTATGTAACAAACACAACTGGAATGCGAACTTTGCCCTCTGATTTCTCAGTCCGAGTCGAGAGGAAAAAGATCATTCAGTAATGGTACCAACATTCATACACTGGTTTCCATCTTCAAAATCCATTCAAGAACCATCAAGAGAATGGTGAATAAGTATAAAAAAGAAGAAACAGTAGAGAGGAAAATTGAATCAGGAAGTCACAATAGGAAAAGGGATCATCATTTCAATTTAAACCTAAAGAGATCAATTAGAAAAGATCCAACTCAATTCATAAGGCTTTTGCATGTGAGAGAGGAGTTTCAGCTATGAAAATTCAAAGAGAAGTGAAAAAAAAAAGAGTTGAAAATGAAATCGTACGTGAAACCACTTATTCCAGGACAAAGAGTTAGAAGGTTAGAGAGGGCGAAGATCATTTTGAATAAATTGGAAAATGATCCTTTATTTCAATACTTCATGAGCTTCTGATCCTTAGCTATATATATATTATATATATATATATATATATATATATATATATATATATATATATATATATAATTAATACATACTTGCGCAGCAACATTTCTTTTAAACAATTTTGCTAGATATGACAGATAAAATTAATTGTTTTATTTAGTTTTTCCACTGGTCTTACATTTTCCATGTATGTGTGTATATATATATATATATATATATATATATATATATATATATATATATATATATATATATATAGTTAATACAAATATGAAATTTGACACTTAACTGATTGATGTCATATTCAATACCTCTACGAACCTTTGTGTAATTGTTCGGTACACTCGTCAGGAGGTATCAGTAATTTTCTGCTTATTTTCTCATTTTCGTTATTTTTACATTAGCTTTAAAAAATTATGCGGTTTTTATTGATATATATATATATATATATATATATATATATAGAGAGAGAGAGAGAGAGAGACAGACAGACAGACAGACAGACATAGATAGATAGATAGATAGATAGATAGATAGATAGATAGATAGATTTACTAGTTCGCTATAGCATTTTGCAGGTCAAGTGAAGGTAGGCAAATTGCCGATCATTGAAACTATGAAGAGTGTTCTTGTCAAGTCCATTTGAGAAGATGAAAGAAGCTAAAGACAGAGAAAGGAACACGAAATAAATGAACAAACGTCTTGATTAGCTGATGTTCACTCGGTCATTAATCAAACAATCTTGACAATGGAGGATGTCAATCGAGTAACAAACACGCCGTTCTTTAGATGGGCAAACAATTTCCCCACTTGCTTGAAATACGTTCACTCCTATTCAACTCCAAATAGTTCTTTCTTTTTTTGTTGTTTTTTTTTTTCCTTTTTCTTTGTACGACCGTCAGTTATGAACATTTCTTTGAAGACATTCTTTGAAGACAAACTTATCTTCGTCATCCAATGGCGTGTCCCAGAGGGACAACTTGCGACGCGAGCTAGGTCGTTAGAGCACAGGACAGGCCTGAAAGTTAAAACGTTCTCACCCTTTTATTTTATTGGTGAGTGACAACAATGTTCTGACCTGTTATTTAACCCATAGTCGCGGGGAGAAGAGGTGAATTCTTGCCTTTTCCTTGTCTTTCCCAAGGACGTTAGCACAAAGACTATATGAACATTGCAGGGGTGTATTGTATAGCAACACGCTAAACACACTAGTAACTGTTATGGGGTCCCCCCCTTTTCATATAAGTGGACTCGACCAGAGTTTTACTTGGACTGCTGCCGTTAAATACCCAGAGTCAGTCCGAATATGGAGAGTGAGAGTAAGACTGAGATTGTGATTGAATTGGAGTTACAGTAATATTGTGAGGTAACCGCTTGTAGAAGTCACAGTTACCAGTACGTAGACTCTAAGGAAGTCCTATTTCGAGACTATATATATATATATATATATATATATATATATATATATATTATTGCTACTAACCGCGTTCCTGGATTTACTAACAGTATTATTACCCATTGTATTATTGTGTAAATACATTTATTTGTTATATTTCATTCCTGCGTTTGTCATTCATTGGAGACCGAATTTCATCTCGGAATCCACAACAGTAACACATCTGACTACAATTTCAACGTAAGAAATGCTTGATTAGAAGAGAAAATAATTAACTTAGACGAATATTCATTGAAGAATTCCCGTAGTGTTATATACATTGAAAGTGTACTGATCTCACTCAGAGAGGAAGCTCTCCATTACACTAAGAGTTGGTGAGAAAAGTATCTGTGGTACGCACTGATATCTGCTTAGACATCCAAGTAACTATTCACGTTATAAAAATGTTGCATTTTGTATCTGTGGAATTAACTCTCTACATTTCGCTAACAGAGGTAGCGACATAGATACACTTGATGCATGTGGAAAAGATTAAAGAATTTACAAAAACCACGTAAAAGCAAATGTTTTGTATGTTATTTAACGAGGGAGTGATAAAAAGTACTCGGCTTGGCCCATTTCCTAAAATTAGTATTCGAAAATGGAGTAATACTGTCATATATGAACAGGAGCTACCCAGTTTTCACATTCCAGTCCCGATAGAGCCCAATAGTGTTTCCACGCCGTTGTAGGGATTAATTATTTTCCAACCTAGAACTTCGTCGTTGGTGACGTACTCGGTCCATGGTATCCTCAGCATCCCTCTGTAGAACCACATTTCTGTTGCTTCAAGTGTCTCCTTCATCTTTAGGAAGATTACCATATAGGAGGACAGATATCACATAACAAGTCAGTACTCTTTTCTTTGTTTCTAATGAAGTTTTCCTGATTCTTAGCACTCTGCTTAGCTATTGAAAAGCATCTTTGGCTATCCCAAAGCGCCTTTGGTTTTCAGTATCACACTTTCCATCCTCTGTTAAAACACTTCCACGCCGTTGTAGGGATTAATTATTTTCCAACCTAGGATCCCTTCCTCGCATCTCTGTTCTATTGCTATTTCTATGGAGAATGTTCTGACGAACCACATTCCTTAGTTCCACCAACCTTCATATCTAAGACCCCTCCATGACACGCACGTTGTAGATCGTTCCCTTCGTATTACACTGGTGAGATGCAAGTTCCACTGGAGCGGCGTCTTCACCCGTACCGCTACATTGTGAAACCGACTCTCAAGAAGATTCTTTCCCCGAAATCTACAATCTTAACCTGTTCACAAGTCTAGGGTTAACTTATCTTTCCCACATATTCTCATAAATACTGCCTCTTCTGTCTCATACTCTACCTTGAGTGGCTCTTGGGACTTGTATAAGGTGAACATCTATTTAAAAAAAGAAAAAAAGAAAAGATCTAATTGAAATACTGATTGTATAAAGTATGTCGGGCAAAGAATTTTCAGCACCAGCGCGTATGTTTTCTTTGTAAGTAAAATGAACAATTTCAAAGATATTTCGATTGTCCTCTGAGGGTAGGGTCAGAGGTACCCTCTGATATCTGCGTTCAGAACCGTGTGATCCATATATTTTGTCACCCACCCATATTAAAAAGAAGTCTTGCGTGGATGTTAACATATTAGAGCTTACATGATTAATCGCTATATGATGAAATCTGTCTGTAAAATGCTTTTTTACAGGCATATTTTATATAAATAACATTTTTGCAATAATCCTGGTAATTAGTGGATACACTTGTTTGAGCAAACAATCCTTTTGCTTTAAAAATCGAATGTAGTTGGCCCATGTAGTCGAAAGACTTATTAAAGAAATGTGCGCCTCGACAGGAATCGAACCTGCATTTTCTTTATCCTGGGGAATCACCTTTAATCTATGTGTGCTATTGCCAAAAAGTCAAAGTGCAGGTTGGTGCTTCAGCGAAGCATCGCTCACACCGTGTTCGCTGATTCGGTCACATTCTGCGACGAACTGATAACAACCCTCCCAGAGTAATCTATCAGTTCGACCCGACATCAGCAAACAGGAGACGACCACGCGGCAGTTCATGCAGCCGCTGGAAGGACATCGTCCTCCAGCAGATCAAACTGGAGCTGGAGGATATTCCGACGCTCTGCCAAAACCGAGAGAGCTGGAGGGAGAATGTAACTCTTGTGGATTCAATGCCTTCATGGCATGAGATTTAGCGGCAGGAGAGTGTGCTCGTGTGATAAGCTGGATTCGCTAGTCTGCCTAAAAACGTCATTCACCGAAGACTATTAGGTTTGACTGCTTCATGACAATTTGAACCCATTAATAGACTCCATGGTTTTTATTCCTGCACCATGTCCGTATGTAGAAAATTGTTTGAAAACAATTATTCGAAAAACATTCATTCAAATTGTAAATTGTTTGAATGAAAATTAATCGAAAGGAAAATTATACTAAATGATAATTATTCAAAATACCTATGTTTGAAATACGTATGTAGTCTTGCTTTGAGGGAGTCAATGCTGATTTACCTAGAACTAATAACGCCCTTGAAGGATGGCATAAGGCTTTTTTGCAGCAAGTGTCACTCTACCATACCGCAATATGGAAATTCTTAGACGCTCTTAAAAGAGAACAGGACTTGCAAGAAATTCATATTGCAAAAGGAAGAGCAGGTTGTCAAAATATCAAGAACGCCAAGAAATACCGCAACATAAAAGGAAAACTTAAAAAATTAATGTCATCCTTTAACGAGTATTCATCACTAGTTGACTATTTGTATGTTGTATCATTTTTTTAATACAAAATTGTTTTATTGACGATATTTGTATTTTGAATAATTATCATTTGTGTATTTCGTATTTTAATTTTTATATTTTTATTGCAATAAAGAATTTTTCGTTTCGAATAATTATCATTTCGTATAATTGTCCTTTCGATTAATTTTCATTCAAACAATTTACAATTCGAATAAATGTTTTTCGAATAATTATTTTCGAACAATTCTTTTCGAACAATGTTCACATAATCACCATGTCAGGAAGTTAAAGCTTTCCAGAAATATTTTGTGGAACATTCTGGAGCCTTGGTATGGCCCCAACGTTCGTCTGACATGCGTTCAATCAAATATTTATGGGACGTAGTGGGGAGGTCTATTCCCACGCACCAACAAATATCAGGGAGCCGTGAACAATTTATCGAGACGGCATAGCACAATATCTCTTCAGAGGTTTTCCAATTAGTTGGGGATTTTTTTTTTATTAATGTTCACCCACTACAAGCCCAAAGAGCCACTCAAGTTAGAGTGTTACTGTGTGATGTTGTATGAGCGTAAGGAGGAGCAGTGGGGCTGTGCAGCAAAGATAACGGCCAACTCTAGACATTAAGAGGTCAAGGTTGTTATGATTGAAAAAAAAAGCCTGCCCAGAGTCTATTGGGATCATTGTGTATGTGACATTGTGGGTCACAATTGTAAAGGTGGTGGGACTAAGGAATGTAGCTCGTCAGAACACATGTTATGGAAATAGCGATAGAGAAGCGAAAAGCTTGCGACATTTCGTCTGTGGGAAACGGGTTGTAGGGTTTACAGAAATCATTAGACGTTGCACTTGTCCGGTCAAGAGGAGGTCCTACACGATGACTTTTAGCACGTCAGGGTGTATTTAATGTTGATTATCAGAATCAAGTTTTTCGTCAATCAAAAGACAACTACGAGATCGACTAATATGATTTTGAAACACGATGATTCAGGGTTTTTTTATGTCAAAGAAGGAACAGCTCCTTAAAGGGTAAATGTGCTCAAGTAATTAGATGTCGTTCAAATAGTACGCAGCCTCATTAGTCAGATGACCACATACTTGGAGTCTTTATTTTAAACGAGACACTGTTCGGTATAGGTGACGTGAATGTCGCCTTTTTTCTAATTAACTAAAAATTGTTTGTATCATTTGGCACTTATTGATGGCAAGCCCGCAGCGGAAGGTACAGCGCCGGGTCGAGGACGCTGCACACAGACGCCCACTTTCCGATTACCAATTACAAAAAAATATTCGTCTGCTTTGCTTCTTTTTTTCCCTTTAGTCAGCGCCATCTGGCCTATTTTTGAGCGGAAATGGGGCAGATGTTTGATACCGAAACTTGTGATGACTCGACTTTTGAATCAGAGGATTTGGTCAGACACTGGTCAAGCAATTATAAATTTTTCCCACTGTTTTGCTTATCATTGCACATTTCTTGTAAATTCTGTCTTCGCTCTTGACCTTCCGGACTTTTACAAGTATTTAGTTTGCAATATGACTCATCTACAAACGCTCTTTTCAACAGATATTTGTTTTTATCTATTTATACGATAGTTAGGAAATAGGCGATTTACTTTTAAAACAACCAATAAATGAACTCAAAATACAACATCTGAATAATTGCTGATTCTGTAAATTTTCTCAGTGTCGTTTTGTCGGGAATAAAATTAGGCGGATGAGGTGGGAAAAATTAAGAATTGGGATAACACAATCTTCCATTTAAAATGTTCTCTCACCCGCTTGAGAATTAACCTACACCTTGGGATGTCGGCCGGATGAACTTCAATGTACTCGTTTGCCAACTAGGTCTCATGATTTTACTGTTAAATTAGCTAGATGTAACCATATGTTCTATTCTAATAGTTTTCATTCACTTTTCGCCTGTGAAAGTCCCTTCTGATTTCTTGCCCCCTCCCCAGCCAACTACAATCCTCAAAAATTTAAATGCAACTTAATCACCATCTCCTGTCTTCCTGAACCCTGTTCTTTTATTTCCCTTTCTCCTCACTAAAGTCTTCTCATTCTCTTTCCCTCCCAGTAACCCTCTGCTTCTTAATGGTATTATCGCCATCCTCTGTCTTCCTGAAACCTGTTCTTGTATTGCCCTTTCTCCTCACTAAAGTCTTCTCATTCTCTTTCATTCCCAGTGACCCCTTGCGTCTTAGTGGCATTATCACCTTGCTTGGGATGAAATGATTTAAAGAATAGAAAGTTTTGAACAGTGGAAATGAATGAAGAAATACGGAGTGCTGTAGAAATACCTCCCACGTATACCTCTCACATAATAGTAAGAGATTAGTTAGATGAAGAGACCATTGGTACTAATGTTTTACTATTATGTAGAAGGTATATGTGGGAGGTATATCTGCCGCACCTTGTATTTTAGCTACCGAGTAAGTTTCTGCCAGGCCAACCAAATCCTGAAAAGAAAAACAACCTAATTATCAAGGTGTAGGTCTAATTTTTGCAGAATAAACTATACATGTCCGTCTTCTATGTGTCGGACGTAGGCGATCATGGCTCTCCATAACTTTCTATCCTTTGTGACATTTAACAGTTTTTCTTTCTTTACTAATACCCCACCCCGTTCCCTTATCCATTCACACAAACTCACAAGGTAAGGGACTAGCTGTTTTCTCCTATCACTCTTGCTCTCAATAGGCCCCATGTGAGTTAAGTTTCAAAATTCCTTCTTCCTCATTATATACCCAAAAATTTTCAGCTCTCTTTTCCTGATTATAAGTGTTCTTTCTGTTGCAATTTTCTTCAAGACTCCGTTGTTTCTTACTCGCTCCATCCATGGAATTCTCAGTATCCTTCTGTAGAACTATATTTTCTGCTATTTCCAGTGTTTTCCTCATCCATGGGGTGATTGTCCAGTATTAACTGTTTATGTCTTAAGGAATAATTTTTAATGATCTTGTTTATTTAACAGCATATGAAATATATAATAGGACATATAATCACACACACACACACACACATATTTAATAAAGTTTGTTTGATATATATATATATATATATATATATATATATATATATATATATATATACAATGAATCATTCATACAAAAAAAAATAAATTAGTAAAGTTAATGATATATAATGCCGAAATCACTTCGCTAACAAAATTTTAAAGATGTATTAACCTACTAATCACTCGACGAATATTATGATCCTTAACAATGAATTTGTATCCGTGTTCAGTAACATATTTAAAAAAAAGTACATATTTCGATTCGTATTATATTTTTTCGTCTCGGATGCTACCTGAATTTTACCAAAAACAAAATAATTTCCATGCCTGAAGATGACTGAATGTACAGTCGAATGTACTCGCGTATTTAAGAAAGACCTTATACAGCTTATAATTTTAAAACACAAGGATAATAACACTCATTGAGTGATTAATAGGTTAATGCATCTTTAAAATTTTGTTAGCGAAGGGATTTCGCTATTTTATATTATTAATTTTACTAATTTATTTTTTGTATGAATGATTCATTGTATTATAAATTGAACTGTACCACATATTTGATATATATATACGGGCTAGTATGTAAGTATTTTACGAATGTTGCGCAATTCACTCCCTGTACGAATAAAATTGTTTTGACAGGAGGTCATCATTTCAGGTGAAATTGATCCCAGGTCAGCCGTTTTATTACAGGGCGCAAACGCTGACGTCAGATTCGTTCGTTCAAGTTCGCGATTGTTGACAAGGAAACTGATCTTCATCGTGATTTGGTGATCGAGGGTCGTGTTCGCGCCCGTCTCATATATACATGGCTCAGATATCCACAGACAGATATGGTGGATAGTCTATCAAAGGTTTTTAAAGAAATGGGAAGAAAGAAACGCTATACTAAACATTGTCTGATTAATATGTAAAGTATTTTTTTTTATTATAAATGTCTGGACTTTGTAACATGTACTGAAAATAAACATAACAACGCAGCATAACATACAATAACTACCGTATTTGACGGCAAATAAGACGCACAGGTGTATAAGACACACCCCAATTTCAGGAAGGAAAATCAAGAAAAAATTAGTAATTAGTAAAATTAATAAAATTATTAGTAAATGTTACAGTCTTGGTAATATTTATGAGGTATTAGTTAAACAAGCCATGATTACAATTAAACGAAAAATAATGGGAAAGTAAGAAAACGAGCCTATAAAAAGTTTATTATATTCAAAGGTAAGAAAACAAAATAAAAATCAAGCAATTATTACAATTGAGCAAAACAATACAGTTACCATTAAAATTCAGTCCCAAATTTTCCTTTATATGATGTGTACATCCTGCGTCTTGTAAACGTCTTACTGGAATAATTAGGATATAAAAATTCTGATTATATTTATACCAATACAATCGGAAGTTATCGCAAGAAAAATATTAATGAAACAAATGTATTTTACAAATATATAATTTGAATTTATTGCATATAATTTTAGTGAAACAAAGTACTAATATTAAACGTGATGAAATTAATATAATGAATATTATCAATGATAACACTTTCAATCTGCAATAGGTATATGAAAGGTATTCTAAAAATCTAAGCTAATAGGAGTTGCTAGGTAGCTACTTTCGTCCGACTATCGCGAATTTTAAAACTATTTATGACATATAAGACGCAGGGGAATTTTAAAAGATATTTTTATTAAAAAAAGTACGCCTTATGTCGTCATATACGGTAAGTATAACTCAATATATCATAAATAAATATAACATCTTAATAATATATCACCCAATATATTAGGTAGATCCACAAAAATCACGATACCTGAGATTTAAATTAATTATCAAAAAGAAAAAAAAGCTTTCTTGAAGCTTTGATTTTAGCTTTAATTGAAAGCTAAAGGATTAAATTTACTGTTTCCAGTAAGCAAAATACCCTGGTGTATTTTAAACAGAGATTATATTGATTGGAATCGATTTTACTTTTTTTTCAGTAACATCCACAAAGTTGTCCGTTTTTTGAGACATTTGTAAACACAAGTTAGTTCTTGGTTTCAATATGGGAAAATGATATACCAATTTTTATATATCAAGAACAATTTTAGGGATATCTATGACAAAGTAGATTTTTTTTCCTGTAACGTGGCTTCATTGGACTAAAGTGACGTTTCGTTGATGCGAATAACATTGCGTACGAAGGAGATGGGGCGCTGAAAATTCTAATTTTTTTTTGGCGGGGGGGTATATATTCTAACCGATTTCATTTTGTTTCTTTTTATTTTTGTTTATGTTTTTATCACTTTTGTCATTAATTTCCTCACATTGTGATAAAAAAAAGAACGGTGAAATGCTGGAAGAACCTAAACGTAAATCCAACGCGGATGAACCAGTGATTAAAACACCTTCCACACACACCGTCTTAGCAAATTGCCTTCTTTTTTAATTCAAGTAGCATTTTTTAAATCAAAATTAAGGCCAGGATCATTAAGGTGAACATCTAAAGCATTGAGTGAAATGTGTTTTTTTAAATGATCCTTTTTGTGTTCATATGGTATTTTATTTAAATTCCTTGAGGTTTCTCCCATTTATTACCTATGGCAATCATTGCAGGTAATAGGATAAATTCCTCTTTCAAGTTTTAGCTTATCATTTTGTTTTGTATTAATTTAGTATAAAATTTACAATAACATAATAACTCAGTATATAATATAACGTCTAACTTACTATGTAACATATTAACTCGGTATGATAACTCAATAACATAATAATTCTGCATAATAACTTAAAATAATATAACAGTATAATAACTAAAAATAATATATAATACAGTATAATAACTAAATAATAATTCCTTATTATAACTCCGTATGATAATTCAGCATAATATAATAACAGCATAATAACTTAGTATAAAATCTAAATAATATAACATACTAGCAGGAGAGCCCGGCGTTGCCCAGGGATATAACAGTAAGAGATAGATCAAGTATCGACCATCATAAAGACTGAAAAATAAAATTGACAAAGATTATTGTTTAAAGTTGACGGACATGCATGTCTTAATTAGTTTTTTTTGTTTTATTTTTTTTTACGAATTGGTCAAACCCAAACTCAAACAAAAACATTGTTTTCAATCGTTATGAGTCTATCGATTGAATAGAATTTTATTATAAACAATTGTCTTGTAAATGGAATTTTTAAAGCATTCTGAATGTAAAAATAAAGAAAAAAGTGTGCAAGACAATAAGAAACACTACCTGCCAAAAAATGTAGGAAAACCGATCCCATATATAAACGAACATACACACAAACAACCTGGGTTTTATAATAAGTATAACTCGATATGAGTTGTCCCCTTTCATTCTCGCGATGCCTCTTAATCATGTTTTCAAATTGATTTTGTGCAAAAACAATTGTGTTTTTCCAATTTTGGGTGCTGTCAGAACCACCGCAAAGTAATTTTACGTAGTCCTGTGAAGTTTTGTTGAAATCGGTTGAAAAATGTAGGAAATCCGATCCCATATATAAACGAACACACACACACACACACAAACATTCTCATGATGCCTCTTAATCGTGTTTTCAAATTGATTTCATGCAAAAACAATTGTGTTTTCCAATTTTTGGCGCTGTTAGAACCACCGCAAAGTAATTTTACGTAGTCCTGTGAAGTTTTATTTGAAATCGGTTGAAAATGTAGGAAATCCGATCCAATATATAAACGTACACACACACACACACACACACACACACACACACACACACACACACACACACACACACACACAACCTGGGTTTTATAATAAGTGTGATAACTGTATTTATCTCAATGGTAATATAATAACTCGTCGTGCAAACATCCACTTGAAATATTAATTATTTTTGATCTAAGAATTCTTTATAGGATTTGGTTTCATTTTTTGTTACCTACCATTGTTTTGAAATGTACTAACCGATAATGGCACGGAAAGTAGAATCAACCATTCGAATTCTAATTTCCACCTCGTTTATTGTCTATATTTTCACTTTCTTTAGGGGAAAAAATAAAGCCATCATTTCTCTTACCATCCCCAGTAGGAAATTAAATAGTAAGGTAGACTGGACACAGTAGCTTTGCGAAGTAGCCATTCCAGGTTAAGGAAAATTGATTTCAAAATGGTGGAGAAGACAACGGGAAATACATGTAAAATCCATATTCTGTCAGTAATGTTCTCTTTTAATGCATTTCTGATAGTAAAATTGTTTTCAATGCATTTTATATTAAAATCATTTACAAATCTACAGTAGTAAATTCATTACCGATGCATTTACATGAATATATAATCGCTCTGTTATGTCAGTAACTCATGTGAGTAACTTACTTCCCGACCGACGACATTTCTCATTGTCAACGCAATCCTATTGTAAAATTAATCACAATGCATTTCTGTGGTAACAACATAAGGCAATGCATTTACATTATAATATAATAGCTCTATATTGTCAGTAAGTTTTACATTAATTCATAAACAAGGGCAATGACATTTTTCTGATTTTCAATACACACTGACGTTAAAATTATTTTTTATGAATTTTCATATTAAAATTATTTGCAATATTTTCTTATAATACAAAAAATTAACTATGGATTTACATTATACATCTAATATCTCTAGTATTCCAAACAGATTTAGTTTAATACATAATAATTATACAACATTTCTTTTATTTGTAACTTTCAGTGTATTTCCAAAGGAAAATTATTTGTAACGCATTTTTATAGGAACATAATTTTCAACGTATTCCTCTAGGAAAATTATTTGCAACGCATTCCTATAAGAAAATAATTTTCGCATGTATTTCTATAGGAAAATTATTTGCAACGCAATTTTATAAGAAAATAATTTTCAACGTATTTGTATAGGAAAATTATTTGCAAGGAATTTCTACAGGAAAATAATTTTCAGCATATTGCTATGAGAAAATTATTTGCAACTCAATTCTATAAAAAACTAAATTTCAATGTATTTCTATAGGAAAATTATTAGCAACGCATTTTTACTGGAAAATAATTTTCAATGTATTTATATAGAAAAAAGTATTTGCAACGTAATTCTATAAGAAACTCATTTTCAACGTATATAGGAAAATTCTTTACAACGTAAATCTAATAGAAAATAAATTTCACGTATTTCTATAGGGAAATTATTTGTAACGCATTTATACGGGAAAATAATTTTCAAAGTATTTCTATTGGAAAATTATTTACAACGCAAATCTAAGAAAATAAATTTCACGTATTTCTATTGGAAAATTATTTGCAACGCAAATCTATAAGAAAATAAATTTCACGTATATCTATAGGAAAATTATTTGTAACGCATTTATACAGGAAATAATTTTCAACGTATTTCTATAGGAAAATTATTTGCAATGCTTTCAGCCGTCCTGATTAGTCTGTCATTTACTGACAGCCTGACCGAATTAACGATACATTTCTTTTTATTTTAACGCACGCCACTAAATATGAAAATTAGTGAATGATTAAAGTGAAAGTTATGACGGAACTTATCCTACAAGGGATATCACATAACAGGTTATATAAGTAACTAGTATATAAATAGTTTATGTATGTCCACATCTTTGTATATATTAACACATATAAACAGGCACGTAGACAAGTGTCAATTACATAGAAAATTGCGTGTATATATTTTGGTGTGTATGTGTGATATCTTTATAATTCTTAGGTATGCTTGTACTATAATGTATTTAAAGATTATTGTCAGTGGATTCGTTATCTGTATACATCTGGGATTTCTTTCTTTTTATTTTCTTGTCATGATTTATTTTCTGGATTACTGCATATGAACGGCAAATATGAAGATCACTAACGAATCGTGCCAAGACTTTTTCTTCTATGTGGCATGTCCCTTCAGGACGTCGGCGATCATAGATCTCTACAATTTCCTGTCCTTTATAGCTCTTAGTAAATGTTATCCTTTTGCTACATCTCCTAAATCCTGTTCTGTCAACTATTTACACATTCCCGTTAGGTAGATTAAACACTATTTTCCTCAATCCCTCTTGCCTTTATTATGCTCTGTGAGTACCAAACTTTCCAAGTCTTCTTTCCTTCTTTTAATCTTCTAGATATTTCAACTGTTTCTTTCTGATATGAATTATAAGTGCTCCTTTTGTTTCCATTTGCTCTAAAACTTCATCGTTGCTTACATGTTCAGTCTATTGTATTCTCAACGTCCCTCTGTAGAACCACATAGCGATAAGAACGGACTAACCATTAATTGTAAGAAGACAGAATGTATGGTTCTCATATAAAGCAACAGACCAATATAAGAATTACAAATTCGTGGAGTAAAAAAAAAGCTAGAAGAAAGGACTAACCATCAAGTGTGTCGGAGTTAGCTCCTCCTTAGCTCCAACAGGGGTCTCTCATCCCTGGCCATAAATACTCGCTGACCCTTCGCCTCGACCTCTTTTTCCCTCAGGCCTTTGGGGCCGCCACCTTGAGGTAAATCTCTTTTTCCTCAGGCTTCGGCCTTATACCAACTCGCAGATGTGAACGCTCACAGATACAGCGTTTCCCAAATTCTGGGAACACGCTAAGAACAATACACGTACGTACGAACACTCACCACAACATACACACACATAATATTCTCCACACACACTCTGTCCATGTAACTTGTAACCTTTCTTGTTATTAATACATATAATGGTTTACATATATTTATCGGTCTTGTGTTTGTTTTTCCTTGTCTTCTTTGGAATTTATTAAAGTCCAACTTTCTCATGTAGTTGGACCGGCTAGCAGAAAATTTTAACCCACATGTGTTTTACATACTCATCACCACCGCCACGGTCCGCTACAAGTGTAAGAAGACAGAATGTATGGTTGTCAGCAAAAGCAACAGCCCGACATGTGAATTACAAATTGGAGGGAGTGAAAGAAAGCGAGAAGAAAGGACTAACCATCAATTGTAAGAAAACAGAACGTATGGTCTTTCAGAAAAAGGAACAGCCAAACATACGAATTACAAATTGGAGGGAATAAAAGAAAGCGAGAAGGAAAGACTGACCATCAATTGTAAGAAGACAGAATGTACGGTTGTAAAAGGAACAGCCCAACATGCGAATTACAAATTGGAGGGAGTAAAAGAAAGCTAGAAGAAATGACTAACCATCAATTGTAAGAAGACGGAATGTATGGTTGTCAGCAAAAGAAACAGACCAATTACAATGTGAATTACAAATTGAAGGGAGTAAAAGAAAGCTAGAAGAAAGGACTAACCATCAATCGTAAGAAGACAGAATGTATGGTTGTAAAAAGAAGAGCCCAACACGCGAATTGTAAATTGTTCATGCCATGGTATTATCAGCATCATTCTGTAGAATCACATTTCTATTGCTTCACGTTTATCCTTCATCTACTAGAAAATTGTCTATCATTCATTGTAATATAGAATATAGCAAACTATCTCAAACAGGTACATATTCTCATCATTTTTGACGGGTACTACACAAATAAAATTCACGATTATTATATTACAAATTTACGTGAGTTTTCAAAAATTACTTTGATACTGGCTGTAAATAAACTCGTTAATTTTTTACAGGTACTATGCTAGAAGAATGATAAGGGATTGAAGAAGTAAAGAAATAATCATAACTGTGATCCGTCCAAGGACTCTAGTTCTGTGAGTATCAGATTTTCCAAGCCCTCTTTCCTCATTATGTGCCCTAGAAATTTCTACTATCTCTTCCTGATGTTAAGTATGTTTCCTTTTCATTTCCATTTTCTCTAAAACATTCTCGTTTCACACATGTTTGTGTCATGGTGGGGCGCCTCAACGCGGTGTAATGATTAAGCAAGCTTGTCTCGCTAGAACAATTATGCCTGAGTAATGAGTTCGATCCTCACTGGGTGCCTCCTCCCGCTCACTTTTTTTTTTTTTTTTACTGAAACTGAGAATTGAATTTGTTTTCTATGACATATTCTATTGAATTGAGATCATCATTTATTCGGTTAGCGCATTTTGCGACGCCGTGATTAGCACTCCCCTCTATTGTAATTGATGTTCAGAGTGACATTCAAAGCAAAATACTGCAATGTACAAGGCCCAAGATTCACTCAAGAGAGAGGCTTATAGAGAAAGGGTCACGGTTCATAGGTATATGTGTGGAAGATAGCGATTAACATTAGACTTGGACAGATTAAAATTACAGTGATAGTGGAAGCATCCTCTTGGGAGTCGGTTCCACAAAGCAGCGGTTCGTAGGAAGAAGCTTCCCGAGTGGAACTTACATCTCAGCAATGGAATATATAGGGAATGATGGTGATTCGCTACAATGAGCGTGGCATGGCGGGTCCTAGTTGTTAGAACTCGTGGAACCAAGGAATGCAGTTCATTTCAGCTGAAAAAAGGTTCATCGATGAAAAACATGAAACATTGAAAGAACAGATAAAAATTCTATATGATGTTTTGCTGTGCCAGCACCACAACAAGTCGTGAAAAAAAAGTAAGCGTACTGAAGAACTGGAAGTGGATCCGAAACGGAAACGCTACGTTGGTGAACTCTCCAGAAAGAGGAGGAGGAACAGATATTAATATTAATAAAAAATAAAATATTTATAAACAGCATTAACCTGAAAAGAGGATATGTTGTGGAGTAAATAGTTCACCGCCGGTGACTATATGGACTAGTCCACAACTATAAAGAGTTCCAGAACCAGTTTCAACTCTGGCAGTTCGCTGCCCGGCTCATGACAGACTTTTCGAACTCTCTGCCTTCGGGAAGAGAGGAACCCAGCCGAGGCTATGCCAAAGGGCAGGATCACGTCTGGGAAGGTAGACAAACCCGATCCCGTTTATGCGGAGTCTAAGGGGAATTTTTACCCGAGCCTATGGCATCGGAATTGCCCAACATAGAAATCGGCCTTGTGCCATATCCTGCCTTGTGGGAGGTTTGTTAAAATATCAACCGTTTGGAGTCAGTTAGTTCGCTGCCTGGATTGCGACAGACTTGTCGAACTCACTGATTCGGAAAGAGAGGAACCCAGACGAGGCTATGCCTACGCGCAGAGTCTCGTCGGGGGTGGGGGGTGAGGTCGATGAGCGAGACCGAGAGATAGAGAGAGAGAGTGGGCAGTGAGAGACAGAGATTATAAAAGATTGCGAGAAAGATATATATAAAGAACGAGAGAGAGAGAGAGAGAGAGAGAGAGAGAGAGAGAGAGAGAGAGCGCGCATTCGCACTTATTAAAACCATAAAGATGAATCTTCATAATGGAGCATATACCACCTGAATCAGAAATCCTACGTTCGACTCTAAATAGAATCATGATATTAAAATGCTATTTTAAAAGGCCAGCAGGCAATTCGACACAATTTGAAAGATGAGCATAAAATGGTTTTCCCCGCCCTATTCCTGCGTTTTATTTTATGCCGTACAAGCCTGCGTGTAATAAGTATACATATCAACAGGCCGTTTTTAATTAATGTATTTGACGGTAAAAGTAAAGAGGCGCGGTCATATTAGACAACCCTTCAGCAGGGCATATCCAGAAAAAAACGCTTGTTATGTATCAAGCAAAAAACATTACAAAACATTAAAAAAGCATATCAAACAGAGTATTAAACATTCTTTTTTTTATCTGCCATGTCCTTTCAGGGTGTAGGCGATCATGGCTCTCCACCTCCTTCTATCCCTTGCAGCTCTCAACAAGTTCCTTCTCTCGACCATCTCCCTTGGACCACGTTCTGTAATCCACTTGCTTAAGTCTGCCAGGTATGTCACGCATTGTTTTCCTTTGTCTTTCTTTTCCTCTATTCGACCCGTGAGTATCAGATTCTCCAGGCCCTCATTATGTGTCCCGGAAACTTCAGCTGCCTCCTAATATTAAGTATAAACCCCCTCCTTGTTTGCAACCTCTCTAAGATCTCATCGTTGCTCACACGCTCGGTCCATCATATACTTAGCACCCTTCTATAGAACCACATCTCCGTCGCCTCGAATCTCTTCTTCATCTTTGAGGAAATCGTCCAACATTCGCTGCCATAAAGAAGGACAGATGTCACGTAACAGTAAGCAAGTTAGAAGTGCAGGTAAACATAAAGCAAGGAATCGTGGTGTAAGCACCCCCCACTCCTGTTCCAATCCTTCTTAGATCGCTTAGTATGATAGACATATATCTATGCGGCCTTAACATTATGTTTGGAACAAGGTTTAGAAATAACGAAAAGGTAGAATTTATTTAGAGCTGCAAGGGAAAGAGCCACGATCACCTGAGGGGACACGACACATAAAGAGAGAGAGAGAGAAATTATTTCTCACTATTCAGTTATCTCCCTTTCTTCTGTAGTTTCCAGGTGTTTAATTATAAAAATGTATGAGGGTATATTTAAGTACTTCACCGATATGTTGTTACGGTAATTCCTTTTAACATAATAATAATGAATGATAATAAAAATAATGACCATTTTGGATCAGGTTGCACAACGTTAGCACCCACTGAATATAAGACTTGGCATGATAGAGTGGGCCAATATATGCATTGGAAAATGCAATTTTTATGGAAAAGAAACTGCAAGAACATCACCCAGACCCGGTTACAGAGATAGGAACTGTAACAATTTATGGGAATTTACAATACACGCAGGCAGAATAATCAAAAATAATTGCCCAGACATCGTGATCAAAGAACACAAAATCAGTGGGATTTCTTATTGACATGGCAGTCCCTGCAGATTGTAATCTATCTTTGAAGATCTTAAAATATATATATATATATATATATATATATATATATATATATATATATACAGTAGCGTCTAAAACTAAGGGACAAAATTTTAAAACCTAATATTTGTTAGAAATAACAACTGTGAAAAGCTGAAATTTTGACAACTGGTAGTCGTTATCATCCATAATAACATACTAAAATTTGAATCATTTGCAAACGATAGAAAAAGAATTATAACAATTATTTATTTATTTTCAAAATAGGATCGTCCAAAAGTAAGGGACAAAATTGAGAAAAACAATGTAAACAGTATGCTATATTCAAATTTTTTGATTTCCTCTAAAGAATAAGTCTTACTTAGTCATTTGTAAACGTTGCATCAGAGGCATCATGGCGAAACGCCAACAACTTGATTACTCTGTGAGACAAGCTATTGTGAAGCTACACAAGGAAAAGCACACCATTAGAGAGATTTCAGAGAAAGTGAAACGTTCCAAGAGTGTTGTAGGCAAGGTTGTTAAATTCTACAATGATACTGGCAAAATAGTTAGTGCTTTTTAAACCGGCAGACTCCGCAAAACTTCGGCAAGAGAAGATCGAATAATGCAGCGTATGTCATTAAAGGACCGTTTTAAGTCTTGCACAGAAATTAAAAGGGTTATGAATAGTACCTCATATGTTAATGTGTCAAGACAGACTTTGTAGACGACTGCAAGAAATAGGGCTGTTTAATCGAACCCCAGGGAAGAAACCACTTGTTAGTTCGAAGAATAAGAAGAAGAGATTAGAGTTTGCAAACAGGTATGTAATTTAGACATATGAAAATTGGGCAAAAGTATTTTTCAGTGATGAAAGCAAGTTTAATTTATTTGGAAATGATGGAAAAAACAATGTAAAGAGACGTATTGGTGAAAGATTAAGTGCAAAGTGTACTAAGAAAACTGTCAAGTTTGGGGGCGGAAGCGTCATGGTATTTGGAATGTTTTCTAGCCAAGGTACAACGCCTCTTGTCCGGTTACAAACTCGTGTAAACGCGCAAGATCCATAAAAACATTGTTCAAGATCATGTTGTGCCAATCATACAGAATTCAGGTTTCGATAGGGCTACCTTCATGCAAGATAATGCCCCATGTCACAAGGCAAAGGTGGTAATGAGTTACCTTAGCGAGCAAGATTTGGAAATTATGGATTGGCCACCGCAAAGCCCTGACTTAAATCTAATAGAAAATCTTTGGAAGACCTTAGGAGTGAAAGTTATGGAAAGAAATCCCACTAATACGGAGGATTTGTGGGTGAAGCTTCAAGAAGAATGGTCCAAAATTAGTATCGAGGATTGTCAAGAACTGATTCATTCTTGTAGTCGAAGATGTGCAGCTGTGATTGAGAGCAAGGGCTCATTTACTAAATATTGATTGTACATTTATTTTTATTGTTTTTTTTGCCGTTTACATTGTTTTTCTCAATTTTGTCCCTTACTTTTGGACGTTCCAAATTTGAAAATAAATAAATAATTGTTATAATTCTTTTTCTATCGTTTGCAAATGATTCAAATTTTAGTATGTTATTATGGATGATAACGACTACCAGTTGTCAAAATTTCAGCTTTTCACAGTTGTTATTTCTAACAAATATTAGGTTTTAAAATTTTGTCCCTTAGTTTTGGACGCTACTGTATATATATATATCTCAAAATACAAGGATCTTGATTTGGAAATCTCAAAAATGTGGCACATGAGGATAGCAATAATTCCACTTGTAGTTGGAGCCCTTGGATTGATTGGAAAAAAGTTCCAGTAGACTCATTGAAGGGATTATGGAAGTCCATGCCTTAAAGAAATTAAAAAAAATGTACTCACTAGTACAGTTCACATATTACATTACATTATATATTACACATAAGAAATGTAAAATGTGTGTTTTTTTTTTTTTTTTTTACTCTCAATGGAAATATCATGATGCCGAAAAGAAATGAGTATACACCAGAAATCAAAGAAACTACTACTATTATTAATAATTTCGTGCGTTCTTGGTAGGACGATAAACTACATCTGGCATCGGGAGGTTTTGTGGAGCATGGTACCACCTCTTAATTGCTATCGTTTCCAGGTCCACCCTGACTCGAAGTGCAAGCACCTTTTAGTGTCCCAAATGTGGGTAAATAGTGAACCACCAAACTAGGGTCAAAACACTATGAAAGTATAAAAATACATTTTCATAGTAAAAATACCAGCAATACATCTTCATAGTAAAATAATTACCAGAAATACATTAAAAAAAAAAAGAAATTACTACCAGCAATATATTTTTGAAAAAAAATTACCAGAAATCCATTTTTGCGAAATAAAATAATGATGCTCCCATGAAAATAAAATTTCTACATTAAATGACCCATAAGGAGTTGATATGTCGCTAAACAAACAAACAATAATTTCATTTTCTAAAGCCTGGGTCGCCTTAAATAAAATGGCTGTAATCTGGAAATCTGATCTACCAGACAACCTCAAACGGAGCTTCTTTTGAACCACCGTAGAGACGGTTTTAATATATGGTGCCACTGCTCGGACATTAACTAAAACTCTAAGCTTGATGGAAACTACACCCGGATGCTGAGAGGTTACGTAACATCACTTGGAGACAACATTCAACTAAATCACAGATCTAAGGGTCAATCCCTGGTATTTCTACAATTTTACGCGAACGAAGAACACGCTTTGCAGGACATTGCTGGTAAGCAAAACAAGAACTTACGACTGAACTACTGTTCTGGACACCGAGACATGGAGCATTACGAGTTAGTCACCCAGAAATTACCTACATTGACCAGCTATGATATGACATAGAATGCCTCCTTAATGATCTCCCGATCTTGATGCAGGATTGAGATGGTTGGCGTGACAGACTCATAAATGTCCAGACTTACTCTATTATTATGAAGTCGGACTAGAAAGAAGTTATCATCTGAGGTAAAAATATTACAGCTGGTAAGCATTGGGGGATACAATTGGCCTACAGGGAGAGCTTCGATGGTTAGTAATTTTGTCTAGCCTGAGTCGTGTGTTCAATCCTCATTGAGTGTTCTATACTTTCTGCCTTGTGCCACATCTAAGTTACGTTTAGTTATTGACTATTGGATATTTCGACGTGGTGTAATGTTTAGCAATCTTGTCTCGCGATATCAGTTACGACCGAGTAGTGAGTTTGATTCTCACAGAGTACTCTTGATTTTCAGCCGTGTGCCACATCTGCGCTATGCTTAGTAAATCGAGAAAATTAGCCATCGACTTCGCACATAAGGCGCAAAGAGATTTTTTGACTACTTGTTTTTTTTTAAAATGTTTTATATGTTTTAAATTAGCCATCGACTTCGCACATAAGGCGCAAAGAGATTTTTTGACTACTTGTTTTTTTTTAATTTTTTATATGCTGTCAAATACGCTACTTGTAAAATATACTTGTAACCAGATTTATTTGAAGTAATTGGTATACTGAAATCTCAGATATATACGT